AACAAATGTATTGATATCATTATACTAGGATCAAATAGTCAAAGGTGGATAAGAGACCATTCTCACCCTTGAAGAACTTACACTCTGGGCTCTTCATTCCATTTTCCCATAAAGGAAGTGAAAGATTAAGCTTAGTATAAGCATAAATTATTCTCTGGCTGTTTTATGTAGTTCCTCAGACCTTTTGACCAGATGGCTTACTACCTAACCATGTTCAAGCTAGCTTAAGCAGAAGTGTTCCCAACAATCTGGTTCCAACTACTTCCTCTTCTGAGTTAGCCAGAAACCTGGCATTGTTGCAACTCTTTCATGTCCAAGCCTCTAAATACCATTTGTCTTTTAGAGTTCTCTACGTTTTACTTAAATGAGGGCTTTTTGGAGTTTTATCCACAAAGCTTGCAATCTTATGTGCTTTTCAAACTCTTGTGGGAAGCCATTCATTTATAATGAAGAGAGTAGATGTATTGTCAGGTAAGGTACCGCAGCCGCAAATCCAGTAAAACATCCATCGTCCAAGGCATTCTTTGAAAACTGTGAATTACTTCAGATCTTTAAAAAAAAAAAAAAAAAATCCCACTATCCCTTGCAGTTTATATTACTGATCTATTAGACCCAAGTGAATTTTGCTGTAGCAACTGGCTTTCATAATCAGTTTGAAGGGTAATTTATTCTTAAAATATGAGTAAATTAAATTTTGTGGCTAAATTATAACCTATCATGAGAATTACTAAATCCAGTCCAAGAATAATGAGAATAGTTTTTTAAGACTTCTTCCTTTAAACGTCTATTAGATATTCTGAGTCAGAATGTATATAAATTTAGAATTTGGAGCAATTAAGAGATGATTTGAAAGTCCTGGCAATTTACCATGAACTTGTCTAGTAGACTGCATAGCAGACTCTTAGAAGGATTGAGAAAGGCTGTGGGTTAAATTTCATCTTACATGCTGAAGGGAATACTAACATTTGAGGTGCTGTCTATCCATTTGGAATAACACATCAAAGAGTCTTATTCTGAAAAGCAGTTCCTGATCTCTTCTGAATAAAAGTGTAGGGAGGGAAGAATAACTTCATAATATATATTTTATTGCAATTTTTGCATTGTCTGATAAACTGCTTGATTTATTAAATTCCTCAGTGTCTGATTAGGATAGTTCTGAACCAAAATTCTAGTTATGGCACAGCATTCCTGTCTATACAGTTTTGTTATTTAAGCACCATTTAAAAATTTTATATGAACTGTGTCATAGGAGATAGCATTCCCTTTTAATGACACATATGTTTATATTTAAAATAAAGGTAAAAATGAATTGACCCAAAATACTGAAGTATGAGTGGGGTGATAAGGAAAGTTTAAGCCATCCAAATGCATCTAGATGTTACTTTCATGGTTTTAAGGTAAGTATTTAATTCTGGGCATTATTTATGGTATATGGTGCTTGTCCAAATAATATGGTATAATGAATTATTTTATAATATGAAGATTGGTGGGAGATAAAACGTATGTATATTAGTTTTCTAGTGCTGTTGTAACAAGTTAACACAAATTTAGCGGCTAAAAACAACACAGATTTATTATCTTACAGTTCTGGAAGTCAGAAGTTTTAAACCAAGATGTCGACAGAACTGTATCCCTTGTGGAGACTCTTTCAGGTTTTAGAGGTCACCTGTGTTCGTTGACTCATGGCCCCTTCCTCCGTCTTCAAGGCCAACAGCACAGCATCTTTAGTTCTCAGTACCTCAGTATCTCTCCCTTTTTCTCCTCTTTCTCTAACTCATACCCTTCTGCTTCCCTCTTAGGAGGAGCCTTGTGGTTACGTTAGGCCCACTCTGGGTAATCCAGGATCCCCACTTTAGGATCCTTAACTTAAATACATAATAAAGTCTCTTTGGCCATGTAAGGTAACTTATTCACAGTCTCTGAGCATGAGGACAAAGTTTATGTGGTATTCCTTCTCATGTGCCCCCACATTTCTTTTAATTCTAGCTCTGCAGATACATACTCACCATCAGTTCTTTTACCAAAATTATCTCTTGCTGGCTGAACTCCTCCTCTAGAAGATTCCTCTGGACAAACACATGTGTACTGTATTTCCTGAATTCTTGCAAGTTCAAAACTATTTTTTCTAGACCTGATTCTTTAGTGCTATTTGACTGTAAATTTCTTGGCTTACACTTGCTTATATTGAAAATGCTGCTCCATACTTATTTTTATTTTGTTCTTGATATCTGATACCAGCTCAGTTTTTTCACCCTTATAACTAAATTGATCTTTTTGGCCACGAGCTCTGAAGATTTTTTTCCTTTGTCTTTAAAGTCTAATAGTTTTACCAGAATAGGTTTCATTATTGATTGTTCTAGGTCTCTTTAAGCTAGGTACATAGTAAACCCTTTTGTTAAATTCTTTGGTTGTTTTTTTTCCAGAAAGTTGTTTTAGAACTATAGTTTTAAGTACTGGCTTTTGTCTATTGTTTTTCTTCTTCAGAGACTCCGATTACATGTATGTGGGATCATCCTTTGCCACTTTCTTTCTGTCTCTTTTTCTATCTTTTTTTCATTTTCTTGACTTTCTTCAGTGTTTTCTTGACTTTCTTCAGTGTTCCTTATTGAATTTTTCTTTAAATCTGTTCTCTCTTTCTGAGATAGTTTTTCTTTTCTTGCATTTTATTTCCTAAGCTTTATCAACTGTTGATGCACTTCTGTGTTTTACCTATTTCTCTTCTACAGTTTTTTAATTTGTCATTTTGAACATTTTTTTGTTATACGCCCCAACTACTTGTTTGAGGCTCCCTAATGAAGTTTCCAGGGTTATGTTACAGTTGTCTTTTTGATGTTTAGTTTTTAGGAGAGAATCAGATAAAATGTTTTGATTTACATTTTCTTTTTTTTTCTTAAATTAATTTTATATGAATTTGACTTTCTTTTCTGAACTGTAGACGTTTCTTATACAGGGCCCACCTTATGTCAGTATGGCAAAGTGACATTTTTTTAGCGGATAATGAGAAGGAGGACTTGGTTTACATGTATTTTCTTTCGTCTCTGTAGGGTCCTTAATTTCTCTTTCTTTCCTTTACCTGCACTGTTATCACTAAAGGGAAGTGCACAACCCCTATTTATCTAATTCTCCTCAAAGCAGTGCTTCTTGAGGCTGTCACCTTCAAAATCACTCACTTTCAAGCCCTTCCTTCTCTGTAGTGCTGTGAATTACCAAGTCTGAGACTTGTGTTCAACACTTTGACCTTTTGTAGTAATTTTTGCTTTCTTGTGGAGCTTTTTGTCTGTCATTAATGCATGTCCTTGACTCCACTCTCTTCTTTTCCTCCTAGTATCTTAGTCTTTCATTCTCTGGCTCTGTATATTCATAAGCTTATAGTAGCAGTGAGAGCTGTTGAATTTGGTGTTAGTTTCTCTGCTTATAGGTATTTGTCTGCTAATAATGCTGAGGGCACAGTTCATGTTTGGTTTTATTTGTACTCCTTGTTGAATTTATTGTTTTGGAGGGAATATGTGGGTGGGTTGAGATTTAGGTAGTATCATTACCTTCTGCACTTACTTAAGTTCATTTCAGCAATAAAATTTAACCAATTCACTCTTTAGGCTGATTTTTGTCTTACAGAATAAAGAAAGGTGCTTATAGCCAGTCATTGACAAACGTGGGGCAAGTCTTAAAATCTGGATTTTTAACTATAATTTAAATAGCTTTATTAACTTGAAACTGCTTAAGGAAGGCCATCTCCTAAATTAGCTCATCAAACTTAAAGACATTTTCAGTCAAAATATGTCACATAATGAATTTTTTTATATATACACACATATACAATTTAAAAATGAGTCCATTATTTATGTACTTTTTGTATGGATTTATGTACACATTTTTCACATTTATATTAGTGTACACAAAATGAAATTGAGTTTTTACTCTCAGAAACAGTGCTTTCTGATCTTTTTGACATTGGATCATCATTATCAATATTTGATATTTTTTTTCCATTCTACTCTTCTTCCAAAACTCCAATATAGCTCTTTAATATAGAATCTGTGGTAATTTTTCAGGAGTTACAGAAACCAGTATGTACAAGGATAGTCATCACATTCTTATTTATAAAAAGATCAAAAATCAGAAAATGTATTAATGTCCAGTAGTAAGAATTTGATTAAATAAGAGCAAAAAAACCAAAAACAGACATTTGCCCTGTTATTAAATAAAGCTAGTTTACAAAATACTATGGTCCTGTTTTTGTTTAAAGTATAATTTAAATATCATTTTCACTTAATATTTGCACAGTTTTTGTCACATCACATATCCATCTTACTGTCACTCAGTGTTGTTTTAAAATCAACTGATTTTTCTATTTAGCTTTCTTCTAGACAATAAAAAAATGTTCATTTTTTTATGCGTATTAGAATAACTTGATAACTATTAATGTAGAAAAATTGCATTTTCATATGATCTAAAGTCATCCTTCATTCCCTTAGTGGAATGCATATCAAACTTAAATTCTTTTAAAGAAGCTTGTAGAAGGGTGTATAATAAAATTATAACCATGTAAACATTGCTGGTAATTTTACTTATTTTTCTTTCTGTTTTTCTGTGTTTTTTAATTTTCTAAAATAAATGTGGATTAATTCTTTCCATAATAGAAAAATGTTTTGTGGGTTAGATTTTTTTTTTTTTATGGTACGTGGGCCTCTCAGTGTTGTGACCTCTCCCGGTGCGGAGCACAGGCTCCGGACGCACGTGCTCTGCACCAAGAGAGGCCACAACGCTGAGAGGCCCGCGTACCGAAAAAAAAAAAAAAATTAAGTGTTTCTCTGTAAATCTCTACATTTCTTTATAAATTGATAGAATTGCCAGTGTCCTGAAATGTCATTAAAATAAGTAGTAGTTTCTTTAAATAATGGATTTCTTAAAAGCACAACATGAGAAGGAATTTCTCATATAATAATGACAGTTTAAAATAAGGCTCATAACTAAGATTAGTTTGTTTTATTCTTTTACAGGAGTTGAAACCTGATATGGTAACTAAATCTGCTCTTGGTGATGATATCAACTTTGAAAAAACCTGCAAAAAGGTACTTCTGCCAGGGGTTATATTTCTTTTAGGAAAAGTTCCTTATTTGTATTGTTGACCTACGTTTTTCCTTTCACTTTTTTCCTTGAAGAGAAAACTTACCAAAAGCCAGTTACTAAAAAATCAGTCAGTCAGTCAGTCATCTGGTGTGATTATTTTTTAAAAAAGCCAGTTACTATTAGTGTACAATGATTTTTCCCCATTTGAGCTCTACTACTGCCACCAAAAAATATTTTTATGGTAATTTATGAATTTTGCTTTGCTGTGATACCACACTCTCAAGGACTTTAAAGGTATGTTGAAGTTAATGTGGCATTTGTGTGTTAGATAGCAGTTAGTCTGTTAATCTTACAAATTAGAATAAAGACTCTTTATTTTTATTCTTTCCAAATAGTTTTTATGAATATTTTATTTAATCCCTGCATTTACCCTATGAAAATTATTTTTACCCCCTTTTTGTAAGTAAGGAAACTGAAGCTCAGAAAGAATAAAGTGAGCTAATTAAGGGTATGCCACTCTTAGGTGCACAGTTAGGACTTTTACCCAGATCTTCTGCTCCTTGCATTTGCGTCACTTGCTTCATCCTTAGTATTTCCTCTTTTTTATTTCTACCCACTTTGCTAAAGGCTATGTGACAGTTCCACCAGAGAACAGATTTTTGGATTAATTAATTCTTATAACTCTGTTACATTTCTTTTTCCACTTTTATTCACATTTGCTCTAATCTGTATTATTTCTTCCTCTTGAATTTGTGCTTACTTTGCTCTTTCTCTAGTTTCTTAACGTGGAAGCTTAAATTACTGATTTAGACCTTTCTTTTTTCCTAATGTAAGCATTTAATGCTATAAGCACTGCTTTAGCTACATCTTATAAATATGATATGTTATATTTTATTTTCTTTGAGTTTAAAATTTCCCTTGAAATTTCACCTTTAACCTATGGTTTAATTAGAAGTATGTTTAATTTCTGAACAATTGGGGGTTTCCAGGTATCTTTTCGTTAGTTTCCTTTATGATCCATATGCATACTCTTTATGATTTTTATTCTTTTAACTTTATTATTTGTGTTATTTGTCTAGAATATGGCTTATCTTGGTGAATATTTCATGTGCACCTGAAAACAATATTATTATTTTGGGATCAGTGTCCTATAAATGTCATTTAGGTCAAACTGATTGATGGTGTTGTTCAGGTGATTTAAATCTTTACTGACTTTCTACCTACTTGTTTTATTGTTGACTAAGAGACGTGTGTTGGAATCTCCAACTGTAAATGTCAATTTTCCTATTCTAGCCTTAAGGAAAAAAATACTCTGATTCTACATTTATGTACACTCTCTGCAATTCACCGATTTTAGCCATGTTAAATTTTAAAGCATTTATTGTAAGAAGGCCAGAACATGAAAGTTTTTGTATGTTTGAGGGGAGGGAAGATTTGTTGTTGTCACAGTCCTTGTCAGGAAGGCAACACCAAAGTCATGAGCATAATTTTACAAACAGCTTCCTTATTTTATACTAACATGATTTTACAGTAAATATTCTTATTTTATAACATTCATTCATAGAGAGGAAAAAATTTTAGTTCTGTTATAGTTTTTAACTTGTGTCTTGGTCTATCTATATTTCTGACAAAATAATGACATGTTAAATAGAATAGTGGTAATCATATAAAAATATGGTAGAACATATTTGTTTTCTCTTGAGAGTTTAAAAAAATAATAATTTAAGGTTTTTACCAGAAAAGATTTTTTGAATTTTCTGGTTGCTGCATTCTAAAAGTATTTCAATAATATTTAATTTGTGATGAAAATAAAAAGCAATTTATTTTTAGTTGGCTAATACTATGTTTCCATTTAAATCTCAACACTAAAACTTGACAATATTATTTAATTTTAACTTGAAATATCCAAAATAAAATATCCTTTGTCTTTTTTTTTTTTTTAACTTTTCAGTCAGATTTTTTCACTTTGGAAGGTTACTATTAGTTGATGTATGTGTAATATTTGTAGCATCAGGTTTTTTTTAGGGTATTTTCTTTCATTTACAACCCTTTGTTAAACCTTCCATTGTGTAAAATGTCATCCTAAAAATGGGGAAATGTTCTATATTTGCTTATCCTTTTTTATTTTGTAATAGTAAATTCATTTGCATATTACTATATTTGTAGTCATGAGATTTATAATATTCACATAGAAAGTTTAGGATCTAACTGAAATATTGTCAAGCAAAACCTGATTGCATTTCTGCCCTTTTGGTATCTTCCTCCAAAGAGAAGGAAGGAAAGGGAGGTGGAGAAGGAGAAAAGGAAAACAGTTCTGTTTCATCAGAGTTCTTGATGGAACCCTTGAGGATTTAGAGCCAAGGGAAATTGCCTTGCTTAAAAATGATTTCAGATTCCTCCCAAGCTATTTGATTTCAACTATTTTGCTACTGTTTTATGTCATTTGTGATATTCTTTGATTGGATTCATGTTCTGTATCAAAATATGTTAATAAATTAAACCTCTGGAATAAAAATGAGGCAAGTAGCAGTGTCATGGAGAGAAGACTGATTAGTTTGCCATAGGAAGGGAGGTTAGTGAAAGATGACCAAAGAGGAAATAAGGCTATTACATAGAGCTCTGTACATTTGAAGCTGTCTGACCATCAGAATAGAGCAGAACAAACTAATTTGTGTAACTTCTTAGAGCTTGCACAGTTCTTCCATATACATTATTACCTCAATTGATCTTACAACAATGATCTCATATGGAAAACATTGATGTGTGCACATGCATGTGTGTACACGTGTGTGTAGTAATACTAGTAGTGTCTTCATTTTCCAAATTCAGAAAGGGGTTAGAAAGATTAAGTAGCCAGTTAATATTTGTACGAGAGTTTTAAAGCTAGAGAGTTTGGGGACTAGAACTGTGACATTTCCAGACAATTACTGCCAGAATTTCAAGGGCTTCTCAATTCAAAACATCTGTTATATGCAGAGCAATCAGCTAAGCACTATGGAAAAAAGGAAGGAAATAGAACACAGTTATATTAAACAGCTACAGGATGAGAGGAAGCAAATTAATATTTGTTAACATCTACCAGTTGCCTGACTCGTTAGATGCTTTATATACTTTAGCTTTCTCAGGGAAGATGGTGATAATCTCATTTAACAGATGAGACAACGGGCCCAGAAAGGTAAAATATACCGATGGTCATAGGTAGTAGGAAATGTCAGATCCAAGTTCTAAACCCAGGTCTCTGCCTACAAAATGAAAGTTTAGGACAAAAGGATGGAATAAGTCCCATATGTGTAAGACTGCATTTTGGAAATCATGGTGTTGTAGGGATTTTAAGAGTTCATTGAATACAGAAAAGTCTCCCATTCTCTTAAATGTGGACTCTAAGCCGTATTTTGCTTTGTTTGCCACAGTTCTTCTGATCCCGCTGAATAGACTGTTTCTTATTATATCTCTAAATGTTTTTAATAAATACAAATATGAATGTGTTGGTTTATATCATTAGGTAAAACCTGGATTTGAATTTAAGTCCAGTTAATGATAAAAATATTCTACTAGCATTCTACCTGTACTAGTTCATTTAGCATCAGTTTGTTTTAAGGCAACATTTCAAAGGAATGAACATGGTGTGTAAGAGAGCTTTTTCATTTTTAGACTCTTGTTTATATTTACATGTACATTCTCAAAATTCTTTTCAGAATTGAACACCAAATGCTTTGTGTTCACAGTAAATACCCATATGCCAAAATAAAATGTGTCCATTAAAAAGTGAGGTGTTTTCCTTTTTTAATTTAATTTATTTGAAATGGAAGAAACTGGAGGTGTATGAAAACCACAGTTTCCTGAGAATTTTCCAAGGCAAACACTGTGTCAACTTCAAGCTTTCAGCTTTTCATTGTTGAGAGTGATGTTAGCTCTGTGTTTGTTATACATAATCTTTGTTAAACTGAGGTATGTTCCTTTTATACCCAATTTGTTGAGAGCTTTTATCATGAAAGGATGTTGAATTTTGTTTTTTTGTCCATCTGTTGAGAGGATCATGTGATATTTTAGCCTTCATTCTATTAATGTGGTACATCATGTATATTAATTTGTGGATATTGAACCATCTTTGCATCCCATGGTTAAATCCCGCTTGATTATGGTGTATTATCTTTTTAATGTGCTGTTGAATTTGATTTGCTAGAATTTTGTCTAGAATTTTGCATCTTTATTTGTCAGGGGTATTGGCCTGTAGTTTTCTTTTCCTGTAGTGTCCTTATATGGCTTTGATGTCAGGGCAATGCTGGCTCATAAAATGAGTTTAGTAATGTTCCCCCCTCTACGTTTTTTTTGGAAGAGTTTGAAAAGGATTGGCATTAATTAGAGAAGCCGTTTATTTTCAACCCATTCTTCTTCTTATGTTCTTTTAAACAATTGTATTCCTACCAGTGGAGTAGTGTTTATCCTAGCCACTGTTAAGGATATGGACACTGCCTCATAGTATAAACTGGATTTTGTATTTATAGCTATTCAAAACTTGCCCAGAGATATAAAATTGTTCTCTGGTATGGAGTGATTACCGGAAGTTAAATGCCCACACCTCTTAAATTTCCTATGTAAGCCACATTGTCATCACATACTAGCTGTCAAACTGGGAAGCATAAAGAATGAGAATATGTTTTATATCTTATGTTAAAGTACCTACTTTTATCAACAAGTACTTTCAAAGAGAATAATAATTTTTTTTTTTTTTTTTTTTTTTTTTTTTTTTTTTGCGGTACACGGGCCTCTCACTGCTGCGGCCTCTCCCGTCGAGGAGCACAGGCTCCAGATGCGCAGGCCCAGCGGCCATGGCTCACGGGCCCAGCCGCTCCGCGGCACGTGGGATCTTCCCGGACCGGGGCACAAACCCATGTTCCCCGCATCGGCAAGCGGACTCTCAACCACTGCGCCACCAGGGAAGCCCGAGAATAATACTTTTATTTGCTGATACCATTAACTGTTTTCTTTAAAAACACAAATT